CTCCTTGAAGGTGCGTGACTGAAGGCCCAGATGCCCCTCAGCATGGCGTGGAGCCGTGCGGAAAGGTTCAGAAAAACAGAATAGCAAAGGGGCTGTTGAAAAGGGGCTTTCCTGCTATCAGCCATCAGTTATGCTGGACTGTCCCCTCTGTTCAGAGTATTGCAGTGTAAATTCAGCGCCAGAAAAGTGAACACAGGTGGCTGAGGCTTCATTTAACTTCTTTATAAACAGCTAAAGTAAATTTTACAATACCAGTTGTAGATTTCTCCAGCATGGAGCAAACTCAAACAGAAGCAGACATATGTTACAGGTTCAGAGCAGAACAGCAGCAACTCAGGAGCTCAGAAACAGACCTCAGTCTCACTTTAGTTCAGCAGGCAAGCAAGACACACAGCAGAGGAGAGAAGCCGGTTCACTTTCAATGGACAGACTCGGAGCTCAACAGAGTTGCAGAGCTTAGCCACACCTAGGCTACTTCTCGTTTCAGTTTCCAAACAGTCCTCCTTGGCTGACTTAGTTGCTATGCCTATTCATTGGCTGACCTTGTTAGCGGGCTCTCTTCCAGTTCATGACTATACTCTGACACCCTCTTCTTTCTTCTCTTGTAAACAACGTTTCAAAAGCATTCCTTATTTATATTGTACACCAATATGCCTCTTTCATGCCCTTTAGGTGGAGTTCTGTGAAACAGAAAGTGCCAGCAATATTCGGAGGCAGAGGGCTTTGGACACCAAGATGTCCCTACGGGAAGAGATGGTGAAGAAATGTCTCTCCGAACTCACAGATGTCTGTAAAAACCTTGGGAAAGTGTTTAATATCCACTATTTTAATATTTTTAACACTGCCACATTAAAAAGAATAGCAGGTAATATATATATATATATATATCTTTTCATGAAAAAATGTATATGATATAGTTGAGGATAACTCCTGTGTGTTGCAATAGGCGTGTTATCATAACTATCACAACATGCCAAATGTATACTTTCCAACACTTCAATGTAACTCAGGTTATGTATGATGAATGCAACACTTCTTCAAATAGCAATCCTTGTCATTTTATCTTCCTTTATTCGCCATCTCATCCACCTGTTTTCTCACTTGCTTTCTCTGCATAAGTTTGAATTAGGTCAGAAAAGGCCGTGATACCTGATGACATTTAAAAAAATCTGTTGCTTGGTAAGACGCTGTAAGAGTTGTAAAATTGGCCTTAGATTTTCCAACTTTCAACAGTGTCCTGTTTCTATAGCCATGCCTCCATTTAAGGCAGATCCCTCCGTCTCTTTCCGATGACCTTCAGGCGATATCTGGCTGATAACGCTCTCAGTGAAAAATCAGTCAATGTCACTGAGTCCTGACAGGCTGTTGGAAAGTCAAATCTCATTCCTGAAGGCAGAGATGGCAAAATTTTTCTCTGTTGTAGCGGAGTAAACAAGGATGTTCCATGAGGCCAACGGGGAGCCATTTACAGCAGGTGGCCAGCATCTAGCCGTTCTTGGCTGGTCTCAAAAAACCTAAGCGGGGTTGGATGACTAGACTTGAAATCGAGACCACCGGGCTGTAGCCTAAACTGGGAAGTTAAAAAAAAAAAAAACCATTGGAAGACAGGAATGACAAGCCAGTTTGGTGTTGCAGATGCCAAGAAAGCTATACTGAGATTTTTCCCCCCACCCCAGAGACATTGTCGTCGGATCCAGAAGTTTTGCTTCAGATTGATGGTGTCACAGAGGACAAATTAGAGAAGTATGGAGCAGAAATAATAGGCGTGATGCAGAAGTATTGTACAGAGATACTCTCAGGTATTTAAATCGCTTCATTTACTTAAATGAGTATGTGCATGTGAACACCTGTATTTTAGACCCATGTCCCTCCTGGCTTGTGAAAGCTTCCCAGGAGGTGACAGACGGGTGGACTCTGGTGGTGATTAAAGCTTTTCTACAGGAGGGGACGGTGCCCCAGCACTTTAAGGAGGCTGTGGTCCGCCCTCTTCTGAAGAAGCCATCGCTGAACTCCACCCGGTTGGATAATTTCCGACCTGTCTCCAATCTTCCCTTTTGGGGGAAGATGGTTGAGAAGGTGGTCGCGCAGCAGCTCCTGAGGTTTCTGGATGAAACGGATTATCTCGACCCCGACCAGTGCACCAGTTATGTCCTTTCCTTCCGAAAGGCACTGAAGAAGGCCTGGTTCTGCCAGTGGGCCTGGGGAACCCAGAGAGGGATGGAACCCGTCAGATGGCTAGTGTGACCCACTGTCGTCGAGGTTGGGGGGTGGGAGTTGGTTTTTATTTTGTTTTTCGTTTTCCCAAATTTTGTTCTCTTGCACTTTACTAATTTATTTGATTCTTTTTGTTAGTTCTTATTGTTTTTATTTTTATTTTTTGTTTTAAATGTGATTTTACATTGTGTAAGCCGCCTCGAGTTGCCATGGGTGAATAAGCGGCAATATAAATCAAATCAAATCAATCAATCAAACAAACAAATAAATAATGCATAGGCTGGCCACACTGCCACGGAATCTTGCTAAAACGTTAATTTCTGTCCTGTTGGCTTTTTCCCTTATCACGGACACAGCTCAGTTGCTTTGGTCTCCACAAGGTTCTCAAGTATTTCGGTGGCAGTCATGGGACCCCTGAGGCAGAAATGCTGTCCGAACTAAGAAAGAGGAATTGTGTTGAGGAAGTTGGGTTTTTCTCCACAGTGGAAAACAAGCCTCGCGCAGCCACAGAGGTTGACGTTAGCAGGTATGGCAGTGAAGGTGAGGAGGGAGAAGCAACGTCTACAACGTCCAGCTATTTCCAAACCAAAAATGGCAAGGGAAGGAAGAGGAAGAAGTCTCATTTTTTTAGAGAATCGAAGAAAAGAAAAGGATCTGGGGGACAGCAGGCTTATTCTAGGAGGTATGTTTTCCAGTTCTTCATAAAGGGTGAATAAAAATCTGTGACATAGTGCTCAAGAAGCACCTTTTAACTGTTTCATCATGAAACATTCCTTGGGGGTATTCTCTGGGAGGCCTGCGGGTTGAATTCCAACATCGACAATAATTTGGAATCCTTTAACATGACCAGTGTCTCAGGGCTCCAACAAATCCACCCCCGTTCAAATCAGAAGTCTCTAGTCGCATCTTTCAGAGTAAAAAAGATTGATTTATTAGGAGTGGCCATGTTGGTGTTAGCTGGGTGCAGCCGACACTAAAATACATCATTCATTTCCCCCTTGGCCCTGGTCTTCCCCCCACCCGCCCCCTGGATGTATATTCTCCAATGGGTCACATCCATAGCCAAGAGTCATCGGTCACGCTCTCCAGTAATACTCTTGCACACCGACAGCTTTGGGCTGCCAAGGCGATTATCTGAGGCATTTAAGGAATGCACTGCTTCCTCCCCCCCACCCACCCCTTTCTGCTGGCAACTAAAAAGACCAAAGGAGTATTTTTTAGTTGACTCAGTGACTGGCTCTCCCTCTCCTTCCCCACCCCCGTTGCAACAGCCACATAAATATAAATGCCACCTGAGCGCTGAGGATTCAGAAAAAGTGATGAGGATGAAGAAGTTCTCTCTTCTCGAACTCAGGACAAGGAGCCTCTTGGCTGGTGTCACTATGTTTCCTTTCTCCCTGTGCAAATGACCTTTTAAACTGGCAGAAGCCCGTGTGATCTTTTTTTTTTTTTTCGAAACAAAAGATATACGGAGGTGACACATTTATAACTGTGTCTCATAGCCCACTTCTTGTTCTTCTCTTCCTAGGAGTTACAAAGCCTGCAAAAGCGCATCGTCCAATTCTAGAAGTTCTACGTCCCGTGTTTTTCCCGGCCAACCGGGAGCTGGCAAGAGGCCTGGAGTGATGGCACCGCCAAAGCCCCAAAGCAGACAATACCTTAAGCCTTCTTACACGCTTTTGTGATGCCCTTAAAAAGTTTCTTTTCATTTTTATAAACGTTACTCAGCATAAAAGTATTAAATTTTTCATTGACTTTTATATGGAGTACTCGTGTTTCATGGTTCGGTCGTGCCTACGGGAAGCGTTTCAGTTAAGACACTTCTTGTGAGCTGCTGCCTAAAAGCTTTTGAGGGGTGGAGGTGAACCCCCCCCCGCCCCCCCAGACAGGAGGCGAATGGTGCCAGGGAGACATCGAGCTGGTGGAGATTCAAATGCATCCGTAAATCAGATTGGCAGCCATCAGCAGCCCTTTAAAGGAGCGAGAGAGCTTGAAGAGATGGGGGGTGGGGGGGCTCTCCAGGTCCAGAACAACCAAGGATTGGGGGGGGGGGCGGAGGCCGGGGGCCGGAGAAAGGGTCAAGTCCAGTGGGAGAGGGGGGGGGGTCCTCTGTTGGAGGCGGCCTGGCGGGGGGGGGGGGGGGGGGCTGCCTTCCACTCTGCCCCCCTGCTCTCTTGCTCCTCTTCCACCTTCCCAGGGAGGAGCAGGGGGCCCTGTGGGCCATCAGGCAGAAGGAGGAGGGGACGGGGGTCCCAGGGGTGTCTAGGCCAGGGGTCTCCAACCGTGGCCACTTTGAGGCTTGTGGACTACAATTCCCAGAGTTCCTCAGACAGCTTCACAAGCCTCAAAGTGGCCACGGTTGGAGACCCCTGGCCTAGGAAACTCGGGTGGTGTGAGGCGGGGGTGGGCAGTGCTGGGCGGCCGAATGGCGGACAAGCGTTTTTGCAAAGTGCCTTTTTGTGCGCCCCCCCCCCCCCGCCCGCATCACAGGCGCTTCAGGCGGAGCAAAAGGCCTGCCTTTAATGCGGGGGGAGTGGGGGAAGTCTTTCTCTGGGTATCTGGGAGACAGAGGGGATCTGCGCCTCCGCAGGCTGCGGGGCAGGCTCCGGGGGGAGCAACCGCGTCAAGAAGCGGCCTCGACCGGCGGAGAGGCCGGAGTAGGCCGCGGGACTCCCCCCCCCCCGCCATCGCGAGGGCGGCGCCTCTCCCAGCAGACCCCACCCCTCCCTCACCGGGCGGGCCCTCTGCGCATGCGCGCGCTGCCTGTGGCGGGAAGCGGCCGGGCCATGGCGGCGTCCTCGTCGGGGCTCCGGGCGGGCGGAGCGGAGGGGGACGAGGCCCGGCGGGGCGGCGAGGGGACGCCGCTGTCGGCCTACGAGAGGAAGCGGCTGAGCAACATCTCGGAGAACGCCCGGTTCTTCGCCTCGCTGCGGCTCTTCGAGGTCGGTGCGGCCCCCGCTTCCCCCTCGTGCAGCGCCCGCGGGAGGGCCGGGCGGGAGGCAGCGAGCGTGCGGGGGGGTGGGGGCAGCTTGGCTGACCTTCGGGCTCTGGGCGCCGGGACGCCAGCCGGGCTTGGTGGACGGAGGGAAACCCGCCTGGCGCTGGGCGCTGAGCGCTGCCGCCGCGGGGCCGGTTCGGATGTCCGGGAGGCTCTTCGGGGCCGGGCGGGGCTGCCCGGGCTGCGCGGAGGGACGAGGCCTCGGTCCGTGCATCCAAATGGTCGAAGATTCGCCGCCTCCTGGGGCCCCGTTGCCAGCTGGCCTTGAGTTCTAGTCCTGCCTTAGACAAAACGGGCCCCTGGGTGACTCTGGGCCACGACCGTCCCGCTGGGCGACCGGGCCAGGACCCCCCCCCGCCCCCCCCATTACTAGGTGGTGGTTGGAAGGAGGAGGAAGTATTGGGCGGGGGGGCTTGGGGTATTTATAAAAACGATACAGATGGGATAAAAGTAGCATCATTTAAAACCAGTGCATGGAAACATGGAGAGAGCCTGCTTCTCTGTTTTTTTTTTTGTTTTTTTTTTATCCTTCAAGTCGGCGGACAGACTTCGTAAAATGACCTTGAAAAGGAAGACACAAAGAATAAAGAGGTAAAAACTATATTGTGCGTACCTTGACTGATGGCAGAGTCCACCGAATATGAATCTAGGCACACCCACCCCGGGAAAGGCTCCCGTTGGCCTGTGACTGGCCCTTCCCTTCCATGGAACCCCAAATTAAGAAAAACTCAAATTTTTAAAAAATTACACTTGATACAGTTCTTAAATTTCACAAGACAGGTATTAAAAACGGTTTACGATTGGGGTGAGGTAACCGGTCCGAATACAAAAGGGGGTAATCAACACCACAGAACTTGGTTGAGGAGGTGTAGTTGCCTAAGAGAATGAATTATAAAATGTGACGGAAGAGCAAATAGGTGGAGGGGAAGGGAGAGTAAGGTTCATCCCCTGAAGTTACTGAGATCCTCAGAGAGGAAGGAGTAAGGACTGTGGAAGTAAGGATGGAGTGAGCAGGTGCATCACAGGGGCAGAAACGAGATAGAGGCCTATTTCCCTTTTCTGTTGCGCCCCCCCTGCTCCCCCCACCAAACTGCCATTTCTTTTATGTCTTGCCATAATGATGCTTCCCTTACAGGAGAATGGTGTGATTCACCTGAATGTACTAAACTGAATGTACTCAAGTATATACGCTGGATTTCAAAAAATGAAAGGATCCCACAGGAGGACAAATGACTAGGAAGCGGCACTCATGAGGTTTCTTAAGGGGGGGGGGGGGGGAAGGAAAATTGGAGGAAAGGAAAAAGGCCAAAAGGGGGGGAAGAAAGAAACAAAGGGGGGGGGGGGGGCGAGGCAGGCACAAAGGGAGAAAACCATCAGTAGACTGGAAGTGTATTGGAGGCATTAGGAAACCCAGGAAAAGAATCGCTCTACTGCTTGCTTGAGGTGGGCAGCAAAAATGCCCCCTGGTAACAGACGGGCTCTTACAGACTTTTTAGCAAATATTGGAGCGCCCAGGTGGGTTTTATTAGCTGTGACATCTCATGGTTCTGCAGGTTATGGATTGTTCTAAAAAGCCCAAACTCTTGTTCAGCTCCGTAAACGCCTTTCTTCAAACAGGTGAGAACTGTGTAGGGGAAGGTCAACCCTCTGTCAGGATTCTGGAGTGAAAGATGCAGAATATCAGGCATTATATGGAGGCACGTGTGGATTCAGGGTTAGGAAAGCATCCAAACCGCGAGAGGGATCCTACTTCAGAGAGGGGTTGGGTACCTTTCATTGGATGTATTCAGGGTGGGGGAAGCCATCTGGGTTCTGCTTACCTGGGGACAGAACCTGGGGACTTCCCTGGGCAGCACTGGCAGCTCCACGCTCTTTTAATACTGTCCTTCCCCCTGCAGCTCACAGTGAAAAACACTTCTAGACTAGCCAGGGGGAAAAAAAAGAGTTATTTAGAGAAGCACAAAAGTATAGGCCTGTCCAAGAGACTTTTGAGTGCACATTTTTACCTCGGATCTCACTCTTTAAGAATTACGAATTGATGTTTTCAGCAGCACCAGCTGTACCATGTTCCGTCTGTTTTCTCCTTTATGGTTCTGGGTATTGGCTGGAGGGAAGCATTCGCTTTCTTGGGGAAAACTGGTAGTCCCCCCTGTGTTGTAAATCGTTGGAAACGATCCTCACGCGCATCTGCTTAGCCAGTTGGGGAAGAGCTGCAGGGATCCTGCCCTCCGGGCTCGTAGAGCCAACCTTCCTACTGAGTTCTCATCTTCAGATGGTAGCACAGAGCAGCCTGAGTGATGGTGTCAAAGGGAGGAAGTGAGAACGAAAACAGCCGGAACTCAAGTCAGTGAAAATACCAACGGCATCAGCAAATGTTTTCATGACGTGAATGTATCCTTGAAGCGCAATATTTTAGAGGTGCACTTGTATTGTCTCGATAGAGTTAAGTCTCCAAAGGCAGAAACTAAGACCACTTGTCGAAGATCCATGCGTTTGCAGAGAATAGATCCACTGGGCATTCCCCTCCAGGAGTCAGAAGCCAAGGTGGAATCGCCTGTGGAAGAGGAGCATGTAAGAGGACCACAGGGGAGAGAGGGCAGGTGAAGGTGCGCTTGCGCTTGGCCCTCTGGGTGGCCCAGACATGCCAGGGGCTTCTGCTCTTGGCTGGCAAAGCTTTTCTGATTGAGAGTTACCCTGTGTTAACTCTGCGTAGGGGCCTCCGATCCTAACGGCTTGGATTTCCATTGCCACCTCACTGCTAACACGCATGCAGTTGTGTCGAGTGTGAGCTTTGCTCAGGTGACTTCGATTGTGCAAACAAAGCAACATAATTTGATTCAGAATCTCTGTTTCTGCTTGCTGCTTTTTCTGTGAACTGCACTGATAATATACAACGCAAATCACTGCTTTATACGTCTTTTCCTTTTTTTTTTTTTGAAAGGCCCGATTGCCACCTGGACCTCATCTAATGGTTGCTACTGTTCAGGAGCCAGAAACGGACACATTTCTCGGCATGTGGGCAAAAATAAGCCAGGTATTTGTAGAATTCACTAGTAGGTTTTGAAAGAGGCTGAATACTGAATGTAAATAATTTCTGCATTGTTTTCCAATCATTAACTAGGTGGAAGGGAAGAAGAGCGAGGAGAGCTCATGTAACTTAGAAAGGTGACTCTGAAATTAACTCTAACTTGATTTTTTAAAATGCATTTGCTTTGCGTTCAAGCCTAACATTTTCATTGTTTTGGCCCAGTTACAAAGCTCGTCTCCGCAGGATGGTCCTCAGAGAAGAACATGTTGCAAAAGTGGTGGCAAGTCGGATTTGTTCTGTGGCTGTGCATCCCTCAGAAAGCAGAACCCTGGTAGCAGCTGGGGACAAGTGGGGGCAGATCGGTCTCTGGGATTTGGTGAGTACTTCGTGATGCCTTGTCCTCTGCAGCAACGTGTATTTTGCTTTCAGTGCAGCTTCCGTGTAAGTTACGTAAGGTAGAAACAGTGGAATGTTTAGAGAAAATGGGAGAAGGTTTTGGCTGAGCAAGTGAATATTGTCAGGCAGGAAATGGAACTCAGGCGTGGCCCTCCTGCTATTCAGATGAGTGAGACGGCTCCGTTTCCCTCTCACTTGGCAGGATTTTGATAGCCGAGCAAAGAGCTTTGAACTTTGTTCCAAGACGGTGTTTTCCAACCTTGGCAACTTTAAGATGTTGCGGTTTGTTGGCTGGGGAATTCTGGGAGTTCCTGAAGTCTGGACATCGTAAAGTTGCCAAGGTTGAGAAAGACTGTTCCAAGAAATGCGGGTCCTGCGATTTGGAAAGAAACGGAGAAGCTTAAGAAAGGCTTGCACACTTTTTCTGCTTTCCTTTTGCTTCCGACAAGCAAAGTCACAAGCCAGATTCACTTAACAACCATGTGACTAACTTAATAATTGCAGTGATTCACTAAGCAACTGTGGCAAGAAAGATCGTAAAACGAGGCAAAACTCACTTAACAAATGTCTCACTTGGCAACATACATTTTGGGCTCAATGGTGGTCGTAAGTTGAGGACTACCTGTATTACTATTCTGGAGAAATCCAGGAAGCCTGGGAAGTGACAAATCATTGAAGAGGAGAACAAACATCCCTACAGTAACTTCCGAAAGGTAACAAGGAAGACAGAAGAACTGCCAAAGCCCCGTCTCTGCCAGCTTTCTCTGCCTTCCTTGAGCCCTGGGAAGATCAATACGACAAGAGGCTTTTTTGTCTTGGTATAGCCAAGTTGGGACCTTCTCACTTTTTGAGAGGACCTGTGTTGGGGCTGGGGGGGGGCGGGGGGGGGCTGCTCCTAGTTCTCACCGGTTCAGGCGAACCAGTGGTTAATTTTATGGCCAGCTTGGTGAACCAGCAAATCCCACCCCTTGGCTTGCTCCGCCCTGCCCCTCCCGGGAGTCCCCCTGTGGCTTATTTTGGATCTCAGGTAATAAGTGCAGGGTGCTTGGGGAGGGTGAAAAATGCCCCCCCCCCCCGAAGCTCCAGGGAGCCTCCGGAGTCGGGGAGGCCATTGTTGCCCTCCCGGGGGCTTGAGGAAAGCCTCCAGAGCCCGGGGGCCCGTTTCCCGCTTCCAGAAACCAGGGAGGGCGAAACCCTCCCACCCCCCGTGGGTTGTTTTCGCTCCCAGGGTGGTGCAGGAGGCTGACCAGGCCACGCCCACCCAGCAAGCGGGCAGAGAACCGGTGGTGGCGTTATTTGAAGCCCACCCCTGGATGGCTCCCTCTGGCTGGAGCAGGGCCTTCGCGTGTCCCTATGTGAGGAAGCATCGCTCTTCTTGATGTGGCCCTGGCTGTGAGATCCACTCAACGTGGCCTTGCTCTGCTTTGTGTTTTTCAGGACTCCGGTTTAGAGAACGGAGCCTACGTCTTCCTACCCCACAGCCAGGCAGTCAGCTGTTTGCACTTTTCTCCCGTCAACCCTGCTCACCTTTTATCTCTCAGTCACGATGGCACATTACGATCTGGGGATGTAACCCGGAGAGTTTTTGAGGAGGTGACTATTTCAGCCGTTCAGTAACACAAGGAATCCTGTAATGCCCTGTGTGGGGATAACCTTCGAGGCCTCTGTCTGCTGCTGCAGCAGCCTTACGAGTGAGGAGGCTGCAAAGTCTTGACCGTGCTGTTCCCTTAGCAAGTGGAGCGTAGCTTGAGTTGGTTAGGTGCAGTGGAGATGGGATGGGCTCTCCCCCTCCTGCCCTTCCCTGGAGGCAGGTGAAACTGGAAAGAAGCAGTGCTCTCTCCCATCGGCCTTTGCCGCTATCGGAAGGAGAGCACCACAAGTCGAGGCCTGGGGCTCGAGACAGAACATCACAGACAATTTCCAGCTGTGCTTAAGTTTTTTTCTGAGTTGGATAATATTATTATGTCTTTGGGAAACAACCGTCTTCAGGAAAACCTGCTTTTCTCAGGCTACTTTTGACTGCTATAAACTGAGCCTTGAAAATAAATTGAAGTTTAATTTCCAGCTGTTACGAAATGCAGGCTTGCACTGAATAAGACCTTAGACCTTGTCCTGATGGAAACCTCTTACCCATTCACAGGTATACCGAAATGAGAGCCACAGCCTTTCCTCGTTTGACTTTTTGGCAAGCGATGCCTCTACGTTGGTTGTAGGAACGTGGGATGGAAATGTAGCCATAGTGGATCGGAGAACATCCGTCCCATCCCCTGAGATCTTGGTAGACCTTCATTCAAAGACGAGGACGGTCCACGTTCACCCCGTCAGTAGGCAGTACTTCGTTGCGGCTGGGGAAAGGTAAGTTCCCACGCAGGTGCAAAGGTGCGATGGGGAAGAAAATGTTTACTTAATTTGTTTTATAACAGTTTGAAACCCAGAACTTCTGTCATAAGTAATAAGAGTTGTAAGTCAAGGCACTGAACTGGATCTGATTTTACAACTTTTGCAGCAGTTGTTAGGCAAACGCCGTGGGCATCAAGCAAAGCCATGAATTCCTGGGGCCGATTTTATGATCGGGAACTAGCCAAAAAAGCTGGAAACCGTCCGAAAACTTAAAAGGGACCGTGAAATGCCACCATCGGTCCTAAAGTCAGCTGGTCACCACTGCCTGAAATGCAGTCATGACTGCAGGCGTGTGTGCAGCATCACAACCTCTGGAAGTGGGTCGTAAGAAGATTTGGGGTGGGGTGGGCACTGTAAGGTTGAAAAGCCGCTAGGCAACTGGCCGTTCAAGAAGGACCCCCTGCACCTTTACAGATGCGCTGGCCTAGATCCCATCCAGAAGGGGGCTGGACTCAGAAGAATGGCCCTTCCCCCCCCCCCGGGCTCCTCTCTTGGGGGGGAGGGGGTCCTGACCAGCGGCCTCTGGGCTGCTGCACCCAGGGGGGCTTCTCCTCCACGCAAGGCCAATGGCAGAAACCCCCAGAGAAAATGACGCTCCCCGGTGCCCCGTGTTCTGGGCGGGTGCGCTGACCGGCCGTTTGTTTTGACGCCCTTCCAAAAGTTTCCTTTGCCTCACCCCCCCTAATCAGCTTTGCCCCCTGCCTTCGTTTTCTGCCTGCGTGGCGCACACCTGCAGCAACCGGCTCTGCGGTGTTAGGTTGCCTCTTCCGGGATCCGTCATCCCCACCCAGTTCCCCTCATCTGCATTCGTCCTTTGCTCCCCGGCTGCAGATCCTCTCTGCCCTCTTCCCCTCCTGAGCCCCCAGCCCTGGGGCTTCACCCCAAGGCCCCATCAGCTACAATCAGCGTTTGCTTAACAAGACTGGGAGTGGAGACGCCACACACCAGGAAGAGCACAGGCCTCGTGGAGGCTGAGCGAGTGAACCAGTCACGAAGTTCTAAAAAAAAGGGGGTACAAGAATCCTCTCGGCCGTTTTTATCTCTGAAAACCCGTTTCTTCTTCCCTCCCAGACCCCAGAAGCTCTTCCTGAAAAGCGTCCTTGCTTAGATTCCCCACAACCACCAAGATGAACTTAAATTCTCTTCCGTGAAGAGAGGAGGTGTCCAGCCTAGCCCTGGTCCCGCTTATTCAGGAGGGGTGGAAAGGAATTCCCTATCCAGGGTCTCCTGGTAAAGGTCCCGTTTCCGCTGCTCTTACAGGAACGTCGGTATTTACGACGCTCGGCACCTGAAGAGCAGAAGCCAGCCGGTGGTCGCGCTCAATGGACACAGCAAGAGTGTGGCGTCAGCTTATTTTTCACCTGGGACTGGAAACAGAGTAGTGACGACTTGTGCTGACGATACACTCAGGTATGTGCGAGTTGGCTAGATGTTAGATGTTGCTTTGGGGAGTCTGCCTTCTAATTTTCTTCTCCTGCAGCTCTTTGCAACCAATTTTCTTTTACTTAGCCGGACAAAATTTGGTCCAGGGAAATATGGCCTAAGTAGCCTTCCTATCAGCTGCCTATTGAGGCAGATTGGCCCTCACAGGATTTTCTCTTTCCTCTGCAATATGTGCAGAATAAAGGGAGTTTGCTGGTTTCCATGTAAAATGGGGACGAGACAGAAGGACACTGTTGAAAGAGGGCTGGGGAAATGCTGGAGGACTCAACAGGCAGCCCTTCATGCGCGTGCTGCAAATATTGTGAGGAATTGAGCAATTCGGGCTCTACTCTTGACCATCAGATCCCACAAACTGGAAAGTCCAAATGTGAGTTCACAGAGAGCAAGGGGTGCTCACACACACACACACACACACACACACACACACACACACACGTGGCTGGGACCAGTTGGTGCCTGCCCCAAGGGAATAGAACAAACACTTCCCGGAGCAGCTGCCGCCTCCTCCTCCTCCTCCTCCTTCCTTCCTTCTAGAAGGACCTGTGTAGAATCTGCAGCTGGGGGGAAGACCCAGTTGCCACGGTGGGGGCCCACATGGGAGCCCAGGCTCCTCCTCGGTGGTGGGGTTCCCGGCTTTCACCAGGGTTGTTTTGCTCTCATCAGCTGCTCCAAGATTACTTACTTACTGGCTACTCACTAGACCAGGAGGTTCTGGCAGGGAGGAGGCCCTCCAATTGCCTGCCTTTCTTGCGGGTTTCGTGCCCGACTTAATACGCAGCAGTTCTCAGGTCCTCCCTCCACTCCTGACTCCGTCCAGAGCAAAGCTGCTTGGGCTGATCTGGCCCTTCCCCGGGCAGTGCAGGCCTCTAGTGCCGCTCACTTGTCCCAGCCAGAGATCAGGTTGAGCTGCCGGGGTTTGTGTACATCCCCCCCACCCACCCAAAGGTCCGATCTCCCCCTCCCCATCCAGGGTCTGTGCCCATTCCCCGCCAGGGACTTGGTCCCCAGCCCTGGAATCCGCTCCTTCTTCTCCCTTCGTGTTCTCTGAAAGGTTTCACCTTAAGGCCTTTTTGCTGGACGATGAGTCAGCTGGGTAGGTAAATGGGGGAAGAATGGGGGAGCAGCCCCCCCCCCCCAGTTGCATGGTGGCAAATGGACGGCAAGGAGGGGGCAGTGGGTTACCTGGGGGTGTGCTGGGGGGAGCAGGCTGTATCGAAAGCACTTTTGGCATGGAACAAGGGATAGGTTAGCCATCACTGGCCGAGGCCCCCTTTACGTAGAGCGACCATTCCCTTTTTCAGATCCTCAGAGAGCTCATGAGGTGCCATGTTGAACTTCCAGTGACCAGGATGAGAGAGAGAGAACGAGGACACCAAATTTAAGACACCTGCTCCCCCCTCACACCTGAGACTTTGTAACGCTAACAAATCACATGACCCTAGGAAGGGAAACCGGCTGTTTGGACGTTACCACTTACGGGTGTATTCACTTTTGTCGCGAGGGGTTTAGACATGAACGGCTGTGTGTTGTGTTATTTTGAGGTGACAGCACGTTTGCACTGTTATACAAGCTGTATGCTCACTACTTTACATTGTAGCCAAGTGTCATTTCTTCAGTGTTGTCACATAAAATGATATACTTAAATATTTACAAAATGTGAGGGGGTGTACTCACTTCTGTGATATACTGTTCATTACAAACACTCACACACAGACACACTCCAGAAAAATGACAAGGTCTGTATCCTAAGATCTAAATAAGAATGTTTATCATAGCATAAAAATGATAAGGGGGGCATGTAGGACAGCGGTTCATGATCTGAGGGTTGGGGTCCTCCTCCCTTGAAACCTAATCCAAAGGCTGGGATTTGTTTGGCTAAACCCTCATTTTTGCCTTACAGGATCTTTGGAACTCACTGTTTATCAACTTTAGCTCCTGTTCTGGCAACGATTCGGTGAGTTAAGACAAGGAGATGGACTTTGATACAGGTGGTCTTAGGACCACAAACTTCCACTGCTGAGCAAGACCGCTGTTCAATGAGTTTCGCCCACTTTACGGCCTTTCTTCCCACAGCTGCTCAGTGAATCCCTGCAGCTGTTCAGTTGGGGTCAGCCAGAGGCAGCCCTGACAGCTAGTAACACGATTACGAAGGGAGCCTGAGATGGCCTCCTCAGTGAGCCCCCTTTCCCACGGGGATCAGGTCTCAGGCTCCGAGGGTCATTCGGGAATTGAAAGGGCGAGGGAGCCAACCCTCGTCTCCTCCCCTCCCCGTTTTTCTGAACAGGCACAACAACAACACCGGTCGATGGCTGACCAGGTTCCGGGCGGTTTGGGACCCCAAAAGGGACGACTGCTTTGTGGTGGGGAGCATGATGCGGCCGAGGCAGATCCAGGCCTTTCACGCCAGCGGCGAGCTGCTCCACTCCTTTCTGAATGAGGATTATCTTAACTCCGTTTGTTCCATCAATTCCTGGCACCCCACCAGGTTCCTGGTTGCGGGTGGGAATTCCAGTGGCCGCCTGCATGTCTTTAAAGAGTGATGGGTGTGCTGAAAACAAACCAGGGTTTAGTGTTTAGTTCAGTTGCACCTTATCTTGGTTCTGGGCAAAAGCGGCTACAGACCAATAAATACGCTGCGTCACACATCTGGAGAGATCCTCCATTGCGATTAAGTTGGAAATTAGGACTTAGGTTTGTCATTGTGGGACTGTAATTTTTTTTGAACGAGTTGTGAGAACCTCTTGGTGCCGATTTAATCACAGAGGCTTATAAATCTGTGTCAAACTCCGCAATAGATAAAAGCTCATTTAGAAGTTACATTGCTGATAACTTTGGTGATGAGAAATTTAAATGTATGTTCAAAAAGGAATAAAAAGTATATTTTGATATTTGTAATTCAAACGGTGTGTTCATATTGTTTATTCCTAGTATTGATTGGAAATTGAACGCTTTGATCAGAAAAATGACTTACAAATCAGTGGGGAAAATGGCCCCTGTGTCCCCAGACATCTTTAACGTATAAGCAATCGTATAACCCATGTTAGCGATACACGCTTCTCTTATAATAATGCCCCTTTAAACATACTTAAATGTTTTAGTAATCATTGTACCCAATTGTTTCCCAATTAAATTGCTCAAAAGGAATTGTTTTTCATCATAATTAAGTATTTATTTAAATTTGAAAATACTTTTATATGGAATCAATGGTTTTGCACTAACTACAGGCTGAATATGTAGAAAAATTTACATCTTTGAAGGAAAAATGTGACATATAGTATTTGGCACATGAATTAACAACAACTATGAAAATGAAAATTCACATTTTCAGGTAATTGACCTTTTCCTGCTTCAGCATGTAACACGCTAGTCCTCAGTTCAGAGTCTGTTTCCTCTGATAGAGCAACCTATGGAAACCCCCCCACCCCCAGTCATACACAAGTTGTGATTTGGAACAAATGAGCCGTGAACCACGAATCAGGAGGCCGAAGGGTTGGATTGGCATGAACAGCTCAGTCCCCCAATGCATTCCGAAGTGCACCAGAGAACGTGTTCTTGATTGGGCCCAGGATTGTTTAGGGTCAACAGCTCCCCAAGGATGACTTGCCCCCATCCAAGTTTGCATCTTGTCCATTTAAAAAATGTATTGCATGGAATAGTTACAGGTAGAACCGGACAGGTTTGAGGCCTGAGAAACCCCACCAACAATTAACATGTGAACGTTTGCATCTTTCTCTGGAATGGAGAACACGACATGAAAACTTTTCCCTCACTGCATAGAAGCATCATTTACTACAGACTGAGGTAGGAACACCACACCAGAAGTTTTTGTTGCTTTGTTGCATAAAATGTTATACATCCTTGGATATGCCCCCCCCCCCCATCATCTCCTAGGCGATACAAAGTGGTAACGCATCCGTTCCTCTTGCGAACGCCACACTTGCTTCTGGCTCCTGAGAGGCTGTCCGTGCTATTTAACGGCTGGCTGAGGTGAGCCGCTGCATTGACCAGGATCTTCCAATGTGCATGCGCCCCATCTTAAGTGTAGCAGAGTCGTGCCCGTCCCCACATATTGCTAATGCTGTTGATTGTGCTCTTGTTTGAATGGCGAATGACCAGCTGTGGAGGGAAGGACATTGCGCAAAGCCCCACCTCCACAGCCTCCTTCCTGTCGGTCCTGGCAGTGCTTCGGTTCCTGTGTGCGTCCCTATGGCTGCCCGGGCAGAGTCCCGGTCATGAAACCGGCCTCTTGGAATATCTCTGATTCGATCCTCGAATGACTTGAAATCTCTCCCTGAGATGAAATAGACCCCTTGCCCGTCAGGTCGCGTGCGCTCGCTCTCTTCCCGAGTTTTATTGCTCCCTGTACAAATGAGCTGCTTTTAGGGAATGTTCTCTGAATCACAAAACAAGATACAACAAAAATCTGGATTCCCCTTGCTTTGGAGACAACGTTGGTTTGATTGTTTTCTTCTCAATGGGTGTCATTTCTCCTCGTTTTCATTTGAAACAACACAAAATAGCCCACTTTTTTTTTTAGAAACGGTGGATGGTTGATGCAGTGTTAACACATTGCTCTAAAACATTTGTAACCTTGTGAGTATCTCCGTCACTTGGTACCTGACACTACGTTTATCCAATTTATAAAGTAAAAAAAGGTTTGGTTCATTAACAAAATATATTTTTTTCTTAAAATATAGGTTGAAATAAGTTCTTTCATAATACAAAACATTTACTGTGGCAGAATCTCATTCAAAGAAGCCAGACCTGATGATTACTACACTACAGCAAGATTTCAAAAACCACCATCAGGTACACAAATTGACTCTTCCCGCGTCCGCCAGCTCCCGCTTCCTTTGGCACCCAACTATCCTAAGAAAAGGTCTCCCTGGGATTGTAAAGGCCAAGGGTCGAAATTCACCAAAGACCGGTATTGGATGGCCGTTGCACTCCCTGCTAAGGGAAGAAATAAATTTATGCCTGTTGACTTCCTCTAGTAACCGTCTATTGCTTGAAAAGAATTAATAATGCTAAGTGACCTCACAATATTGGCATTGGTCCAATCCCCCCCCCCCACAGAAAGCCTGGCGATTGGAAAGAAAATAAAACTGCCCTAGTTTCCATGTCCATGTCCAAGGTGGTAGTGCTATGCACAGTGACAGTTTTAATAAAATAATACTATATTATTAAACTTACAACTCAGTAGCACCATTACAAAAGCTCCTGCATAAAGTAAGTGGTCTTCATGAACTGGTGTCCCGGCTGAAGGCTGGCATTTAGTCCAACGCTAGTAATAATAAAATAAGCTCTTTCTATTTGAAGTTTCTGCAGTTAACATCTCTACGAAAGCAAAACTAAATTTGAAGAGTGCAGAGTAATTTGAATGTCGGAAAGCAAGAACTCTGAGGGAGCTTCCCCCAAGTGGACCTGCAAAAGAATTGGTTGCCTGGTGGGTTTGCTCTGGCGTGAGCCTGTCCTTATCTTCAGCTGGGGAAACGCCCTCCTGGGCTGAAACATGAGAGGAGGAGGAGGAGGAGGAGGAGGACTTAAGTTTATGTGCTGATGGCGCCACGATGAGCCCCGTTTTCTGGGAATGGGCAGCAGGGATCTTCCACAGTCCGCCCGGCTAGTGACCAGGAGGACAACTGCCTTCAGGTATCATTGAGCAGGCTGAGTACGGAGCGGATTTTGCAGGCAAACCATCGCCTGAGGGGACAAAAGTATTGATAATGGAATTGTTCAAACTCAGGGGTCTGGCGAATATCACGGAAAAAGGCAACGTCAAGGTCAGACTCCGTCAGGATGATCAGGAGAAGGAGCAAAACCAAGAGGAGTCCGACAGTTACAAGGAGCAGACGGAGGACACTTAAAACAAACTTATTCACCTGTTCTGCTTGGGCTCCTCCACTGCTGCACAGGGCCCAGAGGTCCCTGCCCAGCTCCTGCGCCTCCCCGGCCGGAGCGCCGGCTTCCGACTCCTCTTCCTCGATGCTGCAAGGGGTGCTGTTAACCGGCCGGGACAGCAGCATCAGTTCCAGGCTCTCTTCGGCCACCGGAGTGGGCAGCACGCTGTCCGACGGGCTGTAGACCTCGTCTGAGATGATGGCCACGCGCTCGTTGCTCTCTGCTCTGCCGCTCCGCGAGTGGAGCAAGAAGGCGTCGCTGTGGGAGGTCGACCTGACCGGGGTGGAGTGAGCGCTGTCCCGCAAACACTCGAGGCCTGGAGGAACAGAGAAAGAGGGTCTCAGGGCAGAGCCACACAAATGGTTTCGTCCAACCTTTTTTCTTTTCTTTTTTTTTAACATTGCAACGTTCTGTTTGCAGGAGGCCCTGTAGGAAAACATCAGTACTGCAAGTTTTATCAAGGACAGCCATTGATGGTTTGGGTTGGTCAACTGGAGGTACTAGAGATGCTGTGGATTTTGTGGCAAAGCATTGAACCAGGAGGGTTTTGGAACTCAAAGGCCAACAGCTCCTTCCTCCCAAAACTTGTAGGGCAGGGCAGTTGTCCCTGCTCCGCTCTCTTTAAATCAGTCGAAGTGCCGTTTTCAGCTAACTCCTTTTGCCACTGAAGGCCAAGTCTGGAACACATCGGCCAAGCCCTAGCCAACAAAATGCAACCCAGTAGTGAGAAAAGAAGGTCTTTTAGGCAAGAAAAACTAAATGTGTACATATAAAATAGACAGCACATTTTGGATGACAAAATGTGTTGTCAGCTAGGCTTGTTGGGAACCAATTTCTTCTACCGAATACCGACTTTCTCTTCCAGTTGATGTCAGGGTAGTTAAGAGTCCCAGTTACTCCTACAGTGGTGTGTTTCTTGCTTATATTGGTTAACCAATTAGCAAAAAGTGCACCTATTTCTTCTGCTTGGCTGAGTGGCCTAAAATATATACCTTGATCGATTGAATTGATCGAATTCTTTATTGTCATTGTACGTATATACATAGTATGCATACAATGAAATTCACATCGTAAACCTATGGCCATGTCATTCTTTTTTCCTTTTATATTGACCCATAGGCATTCAAGGATGCTTTCATCCTTGGTTTCAATGGACCTCTGTAGAGATATAGCGATTTCTTATTTATAATGCAACTCCACATCATCTTTTGTTAGCTCTGTTTCTTTTGAACAGTTTATATCCTTCCATAAGTGCATTAAAGTCATGAGTTTCATCCCACCAAGTAGCGTTGCCGTTACCACCAGGTCGTGGCAACTATATCATACCTGCCCCCAGGTACTAGTACTTCAAGTTTACCCTGTTTGTTCCCCAAACATTGAGCTTATAGGCATCTGAGTCCTTTATAGTTGAGCCTGGTCTTGCTTCCTCCATCTCCTGTTTTATATCTGAGTTTTCCTTCCTTCCCATCACTCCTTACCTCTTTCTTCGATCGGTTGTCTTCTGGCTGATGCTTGGAATCAGGAGATAAAGATTGGTCACCCCCCCCCCCCCCAGCCTAGTTTAAAGCCCCTTGGATAAGCTGAGCCAGGGGTCTCCCAGCCACATTCTTTCCCATTGGCCAACCCCTCCCCTGCCAGACCATTTGTCTCCACCGGGAAGGGGAGAAAGGGGTAACAGTCTCTGGGCTTGATGATATTTTAAGGCGCTCAAGTCCATCTTTGATTTCGCTCCTAGGAGACAAGACGCTTCCCTAGATGGATTGTCGGTCTACCGATCGCTGATTCCATTCCTCCGAGAAGTGAATCTTCTGTCGTCAACATCAGCCTGTATGTGTGTGTGAAGTCTGAGCTACTTTTCTGGCTGTCGCTGGAAAATGTGGTGATGTCTTCCAGCTGCCTTCATGCTTTTTCCCGGGGCAGGATATGAAATTGGTTGCTGGGCCCCAGCACCACACAGGACTGGACTGGGCTGTCCTTGGTTATGGTTTCCCTCTGTGAGTGACACGTTGCCATCGGTCTGGCTCTAAAAGTTTATGAACAGGTTCGTGTCTTCTGGTAACTGGCAAAATATTCAGCAAATGCATGAAAAAAGAGCCTTGGCTGCCCCAATTCTGGCAAACGCTGAGCCTTCTTATAAAACTACTGAAACAACAATCCATGAATTGCTTTGCATGGACTGTCTCCTCCTTCGGGATGCACTTCCCTCTTCCCACCAGCAAAGAAGGATGAAGGTCGCGCAGAGTCTTTGGTCGTTGCAATTTTGTACTGTGAAACCGAAGCCGCCTCGCCTGAGCACTTTTTTCCATACCTAGTTCCAAAACTGATTAAAATCTACAACAAAGACACCCGAGCAATCTAACAAAATGAACTCCGGTGAACCAAAAGTAGTGTGGCTCCTGTTGTTCTGCAGTCCTCCTTTGGTAACCATATGCAAAAGCAAGTTATAAAAAAAGCAACTTTATGGCCAATCCTCCCGTTTTCAACCTTTGCATCCCTGCAAAGCAAAGGAAAGCTGAAGAAAGATTGTAAATACCAGTCCTGGTTTCAATGGTTAGCAACTGTTTCTCTCCAGCGATGAATGACCAAGTTTGTACGGTCAATGACCTAAATATGTGGTTGCTAAATGAGGATTATCGCCAGTAGGAACAGCCAACTCACCTTCCATGATGGAGATGTGGACAGCCCTCCTCCGGGTCCTGGGAACGCTGCTGAGCCGGGGTCCGTGCGGGATGGAGGGGCAGCTGCGGCTGGGAACCAGTCCAGCCCTGCGAAAGGAAGGGAGGGAGGAGGCAGCGTTCCCTTCCCGCCACCGGGGAAGAAGGTCCAGCATGCTCCGACTCCCACCCACCCCCGTCTTTGTCCTTCCTGCTCAGGGCGGCCCTTGGACCCTTTCACTCCTCCATAGCTGCCTTACCTGTGTATTTCCGGAGGCTCCCTCTTAATTTTGGCACTGGACTCCATCACTTCTTTGGCAACTCGGCCGCTGAAAGAGGTTGGAGAGCAGAGCAGGTGACAAGCGTGGCAGTTGCCCAGCCTGAGGTTCTGCTGGCAAACTCCACACCCCCCCAATCCTGAAAGTCAGGAGCCTGGCAGTGCTTCTCCATCGCGAGCAGACTGGATCTGCAGCCTCCCTCGAGGCTAAAGCGTTTAATTCCTGGTAGTTACCCGATTGGGTACCTGGAAAGGCTTTGACTGGGTGCCCAGCTTGGCAAGAGTGCCCGGTCAGCCTTGCTTATTCTGGAAGAGCCAAGGGGCGGCGGCTCTGGCGTTGGCAAGGGGCACCTCAGGAAGGCCAGGACTGAACAGGCCCAGCTCAACTCTGCTATCACCTCCCTTAATCGATTCTCAGAATTCACGCATCCAGGTATGCGTCAAAACAGACCTAGCCACAGACGCTCCCAGTCATCATTTACCTGTATCGGAACCGGCTCCCTTTGAAAAATAAGTTGCTGCTGGAAACGGTGCGAACTTGACTGGACTTCTCCAACCTGAAGCAAGAAGCAGAGGTGGGGAAAGGGGGGGATCGTATAGCATCCCGGCTCTCGAGGAAGACTTGCTTGGCCTTGGAAAGGGCTGCGAGGGGAGCGAAGGGGCCGTGGGGAAGCTGCACACTCCCACGTGCCGAAAATGAAGCGAAGGCTCTGAGAACCGGCAGAAAGAAAGACGCCCCTGGAGGAGCCACCGGCCTGGGTGCTGCTAACGGCCACGAAGCCAAGAGGATGGCTTCTCTTGCAGGAGTGGCACCTGTGAATCAGCGCAGCTCAGAAGCGCAAGGGGAAATGTGTCCGGCTTTAGGCTTACACAACGCCCACTAGGGACATGTGGCTGCCTGGCCATGAAAGGGATGCGCCTTCTCCTCAGAACTGCCCCGGGGGAGCCTTTCCCAGTCACGGGTAGAATGCCACCTGACCTGCCCAGGTTTCATGGCACTTCTCCCTGTCTTCGTGACTGGGCCAAATTGCTTTATGCAGGAGCAACAAACCCCCCAGAAGTTGTGATGAAAGGGCAGCCAGCCTGGCTCCTGCAAGGCCCCCTCTTCCAAAGGGGAGGGTCTCACCTGCGAAGCCCCTACACTGCCCTGCAGTGGAAACCGGCCTGGCGGGAAGAGCCGCCATGGAGACCTTTCCAAACTGCCTTTTGCTTGGCATACAGGAAGGGCGCCGCCTGCACTGACCCGGCCAAGAAACGCCCTGCTTGGGGACTGGCACTTTGCCCAGAGACGTTTTTCTTACCAGGGTCATCACAGCTCATTTCAGTATTAATCTGTTTTCTGTTCATTTTATGTTAGCCATTTTTGTCCCCTCAACCGATGAATGGAGGGACGGTGGGGTAACTGACCTCTTTCCCGTCTGCAAATCTCTCTTGGAGGATTTTGGTTCGACAAGGCAGGGAATGAGGTGAGTTTCACCTCTTCCAAGAGGTGCATCCATCCCAAGCAATTATTGTGGCCACTTTCCAGCCCCTTTCTAAAAAAACGCCAGAGGATCGTATCTATGCCAGGGCTCTCCAAACTTGACAGCTTTAAGACTTGTAGACTTCAACTCCCAGAATTCCTCCTCCAGTCATGTTAGCTCAGGGATTCTGGGAGCCTTAAACTTGCCAAATTGGAAGACCCTTGGTCTATGCGTCCCCCCTTAGCCTAAGGAAAAAGGAGGCTGCCTGAACGCAAGATTTTCAAACAGGTCCAGGCGGCACACAGAACCAAAGGAAATCCACGTGCTACAAAAGACAAGACAACTTGAGCTATGGACACAAGACGCTTGTGGGACAGCAGATGCTCTTTGTGAGAAAGTCTCTCTTACAGATGCTTTAATTTCTCAGACTTCCATCCTTCGTCTGGGAGACGGGAATAATTCCCAGCAGAAGCCAGAGGGATCATCAACCAGATTAGGTGCCCATTTGCAGGGCAAGAGGGGGCGGCAGCAGAGAAACCAATCCTGGGGCCGGTTTCTGCAGGAAAGGTCGCCGCCACTTTGGGCTGAGCGGCTCTGGATTGGCAACAGCTGCTCCAATTCCTTCCCACGGACAGAAAGCAGTCCTGGAAAACACGTCCTCTACTCACTTATAAAAGGCTTGATTTTCAATCCCGCATTTCCAGAGATGCTTGCAGGCTTCCGGAGTTGGAGCAAAATAGGTCAGAACAATTTTCTTTTCCTGTCAAAATCCCAGAAAAATCCTTGCCGTTAATTTACAGGTGCTCTTCATATTGTTGGAAAGAAAGCATGCAAAATATAATTTTAATAAATTTAATAAATAATAATATAATTAAGCTAACAAAAACATGGATGGTTTGGATCCAGTTCTGTAGTAGCCACAAAAAGGAAAAACCAACTCTACGCTCCCAGTGTGGCTGAAGCTGCTTTGATTCAGGTGGGCTCTCAGGACCGAATTTTGCCGCTCTGGTTGTGAGGTTCCTCCTCCTCATTGTGGTCCAGTGAATCACGGGAGGAGCCTGAGCCATTTCCAAATGTTACCTGGGCATTCTAGACTTCACAAATGCTTTAGTCCCCTTTGCCCGGGGCTCCGATTAGGGTGTCCTGCATAGCATCCTTTATCTTCACCTTCCCTGTTCCCTACATCAAAGTCCCACTCTGGTTTGTTCTGTGTTGCAACGCCTATTAAACGGGTGGCCACCACCGTGGCTTTCTGACAAAAGCAGACAGTCCTGCCTTACTGGACAGCAAGAGCTCCCAACCAGAAGGCTTCGTTTAAGTACCGGGACTGGGCAGCCTTTCCTAGACCCCAGTATTTATTTGTCTCCCCACCCAGCGCTGCCCTGAACTCCTCCTCATCCCTCTGCCTCCCCCCCCGCCCCGCCTTCCTGGCCTTTGGGAGGTGCAAAATATCTGGGGGGTGGGGGGGTTGATCTTGGAAAGTGGTGGAGAAAAGGATCAGCTATTCCCTCCGCCTGGCAATAATAAGTGCAGCCCTTTAGACCCCAAAGATCAAAGATTTTCCGGTGCAGATTCTGGCCTCGGCCCCCTTACGGGGTTGGGGAGGCAGACCTCCTCCACGTACTTCAAGTCCCACGAACCCTGACCCCTGACCCTCTGTCCAGGTAACACGTCCCCTCCAATAAGAACCCCGAGGCAGGCATGTTCCTCAAAGAACATTTTACTGGGCCATATTAAATTGACCCAGGCTTGATGGAAAACCGGCTCTAAGTTCCCGCTGGCTTTACACCCAATTAAAAATAAAACTTTTGTTATTTTCCCCCAAAGTCACCAGTCACACGGTCCAATCAGCGTGTAGTCCAGTTGCTAGGTGACCTCAGTCTCCACCTTTCGAACACCCCCACCAACGTCCTTGACTCCCAGGGGAAAGAATTTAACATTTAGGCTGCAAAGCTCAGCTATCTCTATACCCCTGTCTCCCCGGCCCCTTCGTTGCAGGCTGGGTCAGCCCTGAAGCAACGTGAAGAGAAACCTCCTTAAAGAAAGCTACAAGGAGACAATGGCCACACTTGGCCAGCTTCAGATGAGAAGGCTGCTCCAGCGGCCCGGCAATTCGGAGGGTCCTGCTGTTTGTTCGGGGGGAGGCCTGGAAGCCCGAGACCTTTTTCTCCAGCCAGAGAGGCGAATGCTCCGCATTCCACAACCCAGGTGGGTAGATCCATCCACACTGGCTCCATCCCTTTTGGCCAGCAGACTATGGACCCAGCTGGGTCTATCTGGGCTGGATTCCTCTCGGGTTCAATGGAGCCTAGAACCAAGGAAGCTCCGCTAGTCCATTTGGAAATGCTCCAGTTTCTCAGCCTGACGGTTGCTTTAAAAAGGTGATACGGAATTTAACCTGGATCCAGGCAACTTCTGGAGGTCTCTTGGGCGATCGGCCGGCAGAGATACCACTGGATTGGTTTGGTCTCATTAAGCAGATCCCTTTGGAAGGCACTCACCTCTTTCTGACTTACGTATAAATAGAACGTCTTGCCTTCAAATTTTATCTTGGCCACTTCGTTCCTGCAAGCCAAAGAAAAGCACCTCTGTGAAAGGGGAAAATGCCCCAACCCCTCCTGCGTGGCATGACAGGGGCCGGCCCAGACACAGCGCGGAACAGGCTCTGGCAAAGGGCAGAGATTTTAAGTCAAGCTGCATAAAACACAAGGTTCACAAAGTGAACCTTCTTGGGGAAAAGGAGACCAGCTGCAGGTCGAAGGTGAACGTTTGTGGCTCAGGGCAGGGGGCCTCAGGCTGGAAACCAGCAGCGGGGATGGAAGGCACCTCGGCCTCAGGAGGGGCGGCATTTCTTTCTTTCTTTCTTTCTTTCTTTCTTTCTTTAGTGTTCACTTTTTTCTGCGTTTCTTTCTTTCCTATCTTTCTTTTTATATCTTTTCCGCTTTCCTATATTCCTTCTTTTATTTCTCTGTACTGTTTAATTTTGTGAACTTCTTCTTCACACAAAAGAAGACAAGGAAAGAATGGGGTCTGCCCTGGAGGGTGAGGCCAAGCCGAAAGGGGCGGGGGGGGGGGGCGTTGGTCAGGCAAGACCAGGCACCAAAGCTCCTTGCAGGAGTAGTCTTGGGGGGGCGGGGGGGGCGCACGGGAGAGGCTGCCACTGTGGCAGAGGCCACCGACAAACGTGGGGAGGGGGCTGGAGGGGGAGCTGCTGAGGTCACTATATTTGGGGGAGCCTCCCTCCCTCCCTCCTGTGTGACGAGAAGAACAGGCTTCAGAGACAGAACTCACCATTTGATGAAGTGAACTCGCTTGTTTCCCTGCAGGACCACAAATCCAAACGGGGTGAAGGCCAGAAAAGCAGCATTTCCGGACACGTCCTGCAACACACCAGCAGCTGCTCACCGAGCGAGGCCACGGATGAAGGCAAACTCAGCCCTTATCTTTTGGGACACTTTCTCACATTACCCCCCTGCCTTGGACCCCAAAATTCCTCTCCCCTGAGCACCGCTTTGGCTGCTGCCCTTCCGTTTCTCAAGGCGGCTCCTGCTGCCCAATGCAGGGGCCCTTTTGCGCCCCACGGGGACCCGAGAAAGTGCCTAAACTAACGGTTGAACCTTAAAAGTAAATTTCAACTTGAAGTGGAAACCATTCTTAGACTAGGACCCAACGGGTGGCCTGAAACCACGCCCGGTGTTTGGGTTTATTGATTCATCGAATCTATATAAGATACCCAAATTAAAATAAATCCTAATCGTATGGACCGAGCTCTACCCGCTCTGCAGGGAGGCTGGGCCCGTTTGACTGGTCTGCCCTCCCACCCCTGGTGGCTAAGGGACTCAGTCGGGTTCCTAAGAGAGCTGGCGGGAAATCCTGCCCATCGGCCACTCGGTCCTGCAGAGGCACCGGCTGCCGCCTGGAACAGGGAATCGGCGGGGCTGGGCGCTCCCTAGGATCCCGCCTGTGCGGCCTCTCCTGGCCCATCAGCCCCGGTTCTTCTCATGGTTCACGGAGGAGTTGAAAGACACCCAGAGCGCCGCTGGGAGAAAATGAGGAACGAGCTCAGCTGAAAACGAGTTACAGCTGCTGCTGTTTATCTGGGGATGGGGGGGGGGGGGGGGCAAAGCGAAGCCCTACTTCTCGGTCCTTATGGCACCCCCAGAAAGCAGCCCTGTCTAGGGTCACTCGGAAAGGCTGACCCCGAGATCCATCCACAGGGCCATGCAGAGAAACTTCCCAGGCACCTGGAGGATGAAATTGCCCGGATTCGTTCCCAGGGCGGTGCCAGTCCCGTGGAGATGCCCTGGGAGCGGTTTGATTCTGTTGGGCCTGAGGAAGTGGACAGGACCCTGCGGAATGCAAGGCCACCTCCTGCGTGGGAGACCTCTGCCCCCCTTGGCCGGTGAAGGCCACCCAGGAGGTCCGAGCGGTGGGGAATTCATCCTTGTTGGTGATCCCAGCTCCTTTCGGAGGGGCGCTGGTGCCCCCCACTCAAGAAGCCACTGCTGGGGCTTACCGCTCTTGTCCAGTTTCTGTCCGGTCTCGATCTCCCCCTTTTAAGGAAGGTGACTGAGAAGGTGGTGGCGCTGCAACTACAGAAGACCCTGAAGGAAATGGGTGGTGGGGGGGCCCTTTCCATCAGGTTTCAGGGCCAGATATGGGACGGAAACTGGCCTGGGTCCACTCCTGGGTGACCTCCAGCAGGAGTGGAATGAGCACCCTGGCTCCTCTTGACCTCTGGGAAGCTCTCGGTGCCATCAACCACGGAGTCCTTTGGGGTCTATTTAAGGAGTTGGGAGTGGCTGGCCCAGTTTTGTGATGGTTCACCTTCCTCCTCCGAGGCCGGTCCCAATCGGTCTTAATAGGGGGCAAGAAGTCCAGCTCACAGCCCTTGCTTGGGGGGGCGGGGGGGATCCACAGGGCTCAGAGCGTTCTCCGCTCCTTTGGAAAACCTGCATGGAGCCGCTGGGCGAGATCATCCGTCCCGACAAAGGAGCAGGCAGTTGTGGGGTTGCTTAGGGCCGTGAGAGCCCTTCCTTCACCTTTGCCAACTCATTCTACAGAGTTTAATTATTATCTCCTCCTTTAATTTTTAAAAAATGTTTAAATAGTTTAAACATTTTAATTTTATGTTTTGATGCTTTTCCGTATAACGCCAGCAGTCCCCCTTTATTCATTATCCAGAAGCTGCAGCCTGAAGTGGCCCCTGGGGGCCAAAGGAAGGATGGGGGAAGTTTCCCTGGGCACAAGGCCCCTCGGAGGTGGCATTCCGGGGTGGCACCACCGGCTGCAGGGATGCAACCCAGCGTCCCCACAACGGGGAGGGTCTGAAAGCAAAAGGGAGGAGGAAACTTCATTGGATTGGGTTGGGTTGGGTTGGGCGGGAGACCTCGGGGACCCCGGGCAGTCGGAAGTGGAAAAAAGGCCAGCAGCAAACCAGCTCCCGGCTGCTGCCCCACAACGGGACAGGAATGCAGCCATGGCGGCTGCCTGATGCGTCCCTCTCGTGCTGAGCCACCTCAACGCCTGAAGAGCATTCGGAAGCGACAGCTGGCAGAGCGTGTGGCCGTGTGGGCAGCCTGGGGGGCCCCTAGAAAGGCCCACATGTTGCCTGCGGATCCTTGAGCTGCACTGGGTGGCAGTTTCCTTCCAGGTGCACCTCGAGGTGTTGGTCATTACCTTTAGAGCCCGGGGGGGGGGGGGGATCCAATTACCTGGGGAGCCACCCCATCCCAATGGGACGGGCCCGCCCCCACCCACGCTGGCAGGGGAGGCAGGCAACGGAATTCCTCAGTCAAGGGATTCTGGCCGGCTCCTGCCCTTTGGAGCACCGACCTGCTCCCACCCTCCTGGCCTTCCATACAGGCTCGAAAACCTGGCTCTGCCAATGGAGAGGATGACCCCGGAGGGGGGTGTAGTAGACCCCACCTCGCCCCCTGCACACGTCTTCCCTCCCTCCCCTCGTTTTGCCACGTGTGCGTCTCCCCGTAATGTGACTGGATGTGTCTGTGTGCAGCATGCAGAGGGTGTGCGCATAGTTTTATTGCTTGACCTTGTCAGCTCGCTTTGTGGCGAACTGGGTGGACATGGATTAAATAAATTAGTAAATAAATAAACTTCATAGTTGATTTGGAGCACAAACGACAAGGCAGCCGCCTGAAGACTTGCCTTTGGAAACGGCTGAGATCTCTGCCATAGTTGGGTTGAGTGGTTTGTCCCCTGCCAGTTGCTGGATGGAAGGCAAAGTAGGGGGAGAAAGAGAGAGGGAGGGAGGGAGGGAGAGAGAGAGAGAGAAAGAAAGAGAGAGAGAGAGACAGAGAAAAAGAGACAGAAAGAAAAGAGAGAGAGAGAGAGAGAAGAGAGAAAGAGGGAGGGAGGGAGAGAGAGAGAGAAAGAGAGAGAGAGACAGAGAAAAAGAAACAGAAAGAAAAGAGAGAGAGAGAGAAGAGAGAAAGAGGGAGGGAGGGAGAGAGAAAAAGAAATAGAGAAAGAGACATAGAAAAAGAAACAGAGAGAGAGAAAGAAAAGAGAGACAGAGTGAGAGAGAGAGAGAGAAGAGAGAAAGGGGGGGAGGGAGAGAGAGAAAAAAAGAGAGAAAGAAAAGAGAGACAGAGACAGAGAGAGAGAACAAGAGTGCTGGCCAGCACTTTCACAGTTGGATCCTGCCCAAGTCTGAGTTTCAAATAATCAGTGCTCACCAGCCTTAAATTATGGTTGTGTTACATAAATTATATGTTTAAGTAAGTGGTTTGAAAATGGGAGCGAATGAAGACAATGCCAAAGACGACAACAATTAAGGCCCAGAATGAGGCCTGACTGTAGTAGAAGGGTCTGCCCCTCATCCCTGCCCTCCATTTTGGGAAGGAAGGATTTTGCCCCCCCCCCCCCCCCCCCCCCGGCAATCTGCCTGCCTTTCTCATCACCGAGTTCCTAAACTCCTGTTTTATTTCCGAGGGTGGCCGGGCTTGTTCCATGGCAGGGAAACTGCCACTTGCCCTGCAAAGCAGCGGCCCCGCCGGCCGGGGTCCCACTGGGAGAGCTGGGCTCCCTGTGGGCCCTGCTCGGGCCGGGCGACAGAGGTTGCTCTCCGAGACGGGAGACGCCGTGTGGCACGCAAGGAAGCCCCACATCACCCAGGTGCCGGTTGTCCTGCTTGACATTGACTTAAATACTGAAGACACGGCAGGAATCGATCCAGCTGACCTGACAGATACCTTCCTTCCTGCTGCAGAACCTTCTTAAACTGCTTTTCCTTCCTGCTGCAGAATTTCCTTTCAAATGTTTTGACTCGTGGTTGGCATTTAAATGCAGCTGGGTCCATTTCTCTCTACTCACTGCTGACAAAGGGGGAGGAGGAGGAGGAGGCGGCAGTGTTGCTTCCACACCCAAGCAGATTGCTGTCAATCAGCAATTCAAATCTGGCCCAACAGGGGAGCCCTACAAAGCCAGCGGGGCAGCGGAAGAGGGCGAAGGTCCGTTTGAGGGAGGGGGGGCACAGTGGCGTTGTGGAGAGGAGGACGTGGGCGGCAGGTGAGAGGCTGCCTGTCTTCCACGGCTATTTAATAACCTTTTCGGGGGGAATCGGCCTCTCCCAGCAGGAAGATTTCATGGCTGGTGCCAGGCCTGGCAAAGGCAGCCACTGCCCCTTTAACTGCTGCCCGTGTGGGTCGTGAATGCAGAAGAACTCAGGGAGATGATGGGGGGGCCCCCACCGTGTACCTTGCAGGGATGTGGGTCCACTCCATACGTCTCCAGGGTCTGTGCTTTCCTGAGGAAGTTCAGCTCGGCCGTTGCGGGGGTCTGCCCACTGGAAGAGAAGAGGGGGGAGGGCAGTCATCCCATGGCGTCAAGCTCCAAGCCCTGCCTGAAGAGGGAGGGCTCCAAGCAGGGGTTGGATTCTACCAGTTCGCCCCTATTCGCTAGAACCGGTTGTTAACCTTCTAAGCAGTTCGGAGAACCGGTTGTTAGAAGAAATTCCTGGCCTAATCCTGTAAGGAAGGCAGGAAGGAAACATTCTGGTGTTGCTTACAGAAACTGCCTCTCCATTGACCCTTATTATATTCTTGGCAGGACTAGACTTCCTGTCTCTGGAACTTCTCTGGGGTTTTTCCCCCCTCCTTTGCTGGTTCTTTGCTTGTGTGGAGGGACCATTCAAAGTTACCATGGCACTGGAAAAAGTGACTTATGACCATTTTTCACACTTACGACTGTTGCAGCATCCCCACAGTCATGAGAGGCCAGGCGAGGAGATGCGTACCTCAATGTGAGTGATGTTGAGTTGGCCACACCCAGCCAGTCACATGACCACCAAGCCATGCGCACCAACTAAGCCACGCCCACAGAACGGGTTGTTAAAAAATGTGAATCTGCCCCCTGGCTCCAAGGCAGCAGGGCAGCCTGGCAACAGACCACCGTGGCCTGGTTGCCTTTGAAAGCCGCCGCTACCCAAGGGTGGGCTCAGGGCAAGGCACCGGCAGACGGGGGGCCCCTCCACCCGGGGCCCAGGGAAGCAGCCCAGGGGCCACAGCAGCTCTGTGGGGGCAGCACGAGGCGGCATAGTGTATTGGGCCAATGCCAACTTTGTATGCCTAGTTTGGTGTTATTGATGGTTTCCATTTTGCTTGCCTAGCCCAGCCAGAGAACGGTCAGGATGAAAGGCGACCTTAAATATTCTGACAAGATGCAAATTCAGTAAATAGCTAGAAGTGCTTAAATATGTGATTTCTTAAGAAGCCTCTTGAATCATGTGAAATGCAACCTTCTTGCACAGTAATACAACACAAGAGGTAACAATGCAGCGGAGAGAAGGAAGAGGGGGGGGAGGAGGGGGTCCCAATCCTCTCCCATCTGCTTGAGTAAACTGGGGAGCAATTTTCCCCAGCAGGGAGGGGCCTGGAAGCCAGAATGTCACCTGCCCAATGGGGTAAAACTTAAGGGGTCTGCAGGCCCAGCTCAGCTGAATTGTTGCAAACTAATTCTTAGATTTACAGTCCCAACTGCAAAGTAATATTGGAATTATATGGGATTAAATTGCAATCTGGCTGTATTTGCACCTGCCGGACCAGACCATTTGCATTCGAAAAGGGCCATTTCACCTGCGCACAAACCAGCAGGTGTTCTCCTTGGCTGGCTTCTCGCCACCCCAGAGATGCTTCCCCCTATTCACCAACCTTGCCCTGTTCTGTGTCCTCCTTCCTTGGATCAAGCAATGCCCTGGAGTGGTTCATAAACAGCCCTGCCTTTTATTAGTGAGACCACCTCCTGGCCCCAGGAGTGTGACAGAGCTAAAGGAAGCCTTGGTTTTTAGCTGCTCCTTGTTCTAGGGACGCCCTAGAGCCAGGAAAAAATAGTTGGAGCTACTAAATCGTGTTTTGTTTTGGGAGGTGTTCACCAGGCTGCCTTCCGGTCCTCTGAGGGGCCAAAAGGAAACAGGGTGACCGACCACGTCTCTCGAGTGCAGCTTTAAAACCAAGCGCCCCTCTTGCTAGGAAGGCCTGTCCCACTGGGCATAGTTGATCCACTTGCGGGGCAGCTTCACCCTTGGGGTCAAGCGCTGGGCAGTCAGGCCTCACCTCCCCTGCTCTGCCAAATGAGCAGAAGCCAAGATCGAAAACTCTCCCCCTTGAACACCTCCAGGCACACATTTCCCCTGCCTTTAAGGGTGGCTGTTCTAAGGTCATCCAAACTCCCCTCCAGCAGCGCGGAATAGCGGGGATGCCGTCCTTCCAGACTCGGCCCAGGTCTTCCTCCAGGAGGCCTCAGGAAGCTGCTTTTTCGCCACCTAGGAAACCAATGAACACGCAGAAACAGCTACCAAGAGAGTCACCTGAGCTCAATTTTATGGATCTCGGCAATTTTCCTCTCCAATTTCTCAGAGTGTTTGGGGAAAAACTGGAACTTGGAACTGTATCCCTCTGGGTGTTTTCCAGGATCGTAGTCACCAATTTCGGCTGAAAGAAAGAACAGAAATCACCAATAATTACTGACTTTGGCAAACGTAAGCAAAGGGGATCCTTGGTGGGTCCCAGCTGGGGCTGCTGTTTTAGAAATGTCCCCTTAACCCAGAGGTCTCCAAACTTGGCCACTTTGGACTTCAACTACCAGAATTCTCCAGCCAGCATCGCTCTGGAGACCTCTGACTTAATGCATGGAGTGAAGTTTAACCATTGTGTTTATTTTTAACACTTTTTAACCTCAGTTCTCTAAAAATATGAATCCAGAGCTGCTTTCCAAGCTCAGCAAGTTCCTCCTGTCATCTTCACTTTCTTTCAGAAACGCCACTTTGCCTCTCCTTTTGTCTCTAGATACAGAACAAATAATCTTCTTCATTCCATTTGCTCCTCTACGCTTCCCTGCCCCGATTTCTTTTAGAAAGGAAAGTTTTAGCGAATGTTGAGGCAAGTTTACACTGGCAACAAAGCAGTAAAAACGAGGATAATGAGGAAAACAACATGCAGCATCATCGCAAGAGGCCAGTTTGCTTTCATCGGCAACCAGCGTATATAATAAGCCATCTCCAAAACTTGTCATTTATCCTCATGGCGTGGGCACATATAAATAGCCGGCTGGAGAATTCTGGGAGTTGAAGCCCACCAGTCTTAAAGTGGCCAGGTTTGGGGGAGCCCCCGCCCTGCCTTAAGCAAATACATTCGCCCGGAAGCTGATCGGCTGCAATGCCTGATGTTATTTGCAGGGTCCCTTTCAGCCCCAGAAGGGTTGCCAGAAAAAGGCAAACTTGCCCTCTTCTTCTCCTTAAACTATTTTCCCTGGGAAGAAAATGAGGGGAGCGATGGAAAAAATCCCCCCCCCTTGGTGTGTGTGTGTGTGTGGGGGCCTTCCTCCCTCCCAAAGGCCTCCCTACCTTGGAGGATGTAGGCGGCCAGCAGAGCAGCGTCCGAGGTCTTGCAGAGGAGACGCCCGTGGTACAGATCTCGTTTGATCTGCAAGAAGACGAGATACCTGTCAGGGGAACCAGAGCGAGAGGGTTGAGTGACTTCCTCCCTCCCTCCCTGCGCCTTCCACAGAAGCCACGCGGGGCCTTCGTCCGTCCTGCCGGGGCCTCTTCCGGTGGCCGGTCCTCACCCAGCGTCTCCCTCCCAGGTAGATCTGAAGAGGGCTCCATTTCTGACCGCCCTGATCCCTGACAGGGAGCCTTTCCACGCCTCTCTTCCTTTTCTGAACCGGGTGCCTCAGAGCCAGCACTCTCACAGGCTGCAACCGCTGGGCTGGTTGGGTTGGGTTGAAGGCAGCGGAAGACCACACAAGCCAGGATGGGGTGGGGGGGGGAGAGAAGGAGCGGGGAAGAACCTGGAATGGGCCCATGATCTAGGGATGCCCCGAGGGACGGACTAAGTACAGCTAGGAGGCAGCTGTAAAAATGGAAGATCCGCCCTTTCTGCTTTGGTAGCCATCTCAGCGGCCCTCGAGAAGAAGAAGAAGAGAGGAGCCCAACCACAGGATCTAGTAGGAGACTGACCACCTAATCGGTTCCAAAGTTCTCACGGACCCCCTTTCTACCCCCACATAAACAAGCCAACCCCCCACCGTCCTTTCCAGCAGGAGGCTCAGAACCCGAATTTGACTCTCCCCGGACGGTGTGGCTGGCAAGGGGAGCCCTGCTGGAAAGTAGCCACCAGTTTCTTCTCCTTCCATCTTCCCTTCCTGTCACCTCTTCCTCCGCTCTCTCGTTTCCCCACTGAGGCGTCAGAGCAAGAGGCAGAGCCGAGGCCCTCCAGGGCTCTCCGGCTCTCGCCCCACTCCCGGCAGCTTTGCCTCCGGCCAGGCCAAAGTGGGACGAGGCCCCTCCCTGCCTTACCTGGTGATCTCCTCTTTCAGAGCCGCTGGGTCGGTGGGGTAGAACTTCACTCGGAAGCACATGGTGAACGGGGGCTGAGCTGCAGAAGAGAAAGGGGTCTCAGGTGGGGTCTCCAGGAGCCCATCAGCCCCAGGCCCACGGGAGCCTTCGCCCTCCCAGTGCATCCCCCACCCGGCTTAGCAAAAGCCGACTTCATCCAGAACAAAAAGGAGATTTGTGTCGGTCAAAAAGGAAAAAATTGAAAACTGTTCATCAGAAACTGGAGAATATAACGTTCTATAAAGAGGAAGGAAGTCACTTCGAGGAACAGACACAGGTCTTATTTGTAGCTCAGTTACAAATCCAGCCAGGATCCATTTGGAAAAGCCGGCACTTCTTTCAACCCAGTGGATCCCATCAAGTCAAGAAGACTGAGTGGAACCAGATTCCTCTAGTTAAGCAACAAGACCACTAATGCACCCCGTTGAGAGAGGTCCAGAGGGCCCCATGGAAGCGTAGATCCCAGATGTGTGAGTGGGAGATCCCTCATGAGCAGCACAGACCAACCCTACCCACATGCAGAGCAGAACCCATCACGTATTGTGTGATGCACCACGGTGAAGTTTCCAAATCTTGCCACTGGCTGTGAGCCTTGAGTGGGATCACCAAAATGGCCTCTAAATCTCCTGAGGAACTTCTCATACTCGCCTTCCATCAGTCCAATGGCCCATCTTGCTGCTAACCCCCACAACAAGCTTCAAAAAAAGCTCACCCTGCCTGGCCAGTTGGCTCTCCTGTCCATGAGCATCTCGCACCGAGTAAGGAAGGTGCTCAATTGGTCCATGTCCTCTCCACACTCCTTCAGCCAGCTGCCCTGGGACCGCACAAGGATCGGCTGTGCCGTTGTTGTCAGTGTAGCTGCAGCTGCTGGACATTCTGCCTGGCCTGCTGCAACAGCTGCATCACTGTGGCTTACGAAGGATTGACCTGTGCGTCCATCTGCTGCTGGTGCTCTGCAAGCTGCTACGGAGTTACCAGTGTTGTGGATCCGTGGCCCTGCTTGAGTTCCCCTCTCTTTTGGGGGCAGTAAGAGTCTGGCAAGATTGATGTCAGGTGCCGCCCAAGAACAACGTAACACGATCCAGCCAAAGTTTATTTCCTTCCACTCTATCGACAGAATCTTGCCAGACTAAAGCTAGAGAACTCTTACCCTAATGGATGTATTCTGGGAGGTTTTTCAGGAGTGGCCGCCCTAATTCTCTTCCTCCGTCTCCTATCCAGCTGCCTCTCGTCTCCCCACCACTCACCGCTTCCTCCCTCTTTGCAAACTGCTGCTTCACCCCCACCCCTTCCCCCTTCAGGGATCCAGACCCTCACACATTGCCAAGTTAGAGGCGCTGCCTATAAATAAACATTTGAAGGTAAATAAATAAAAGATAAATAAATGCACGAAGATAAATACTTACATCGCATTTGCTTCACAACAGACTTCGTGAATTCCAGCCAGTGCTGAAGCGAAGGAGAGAGAGAGAGAGAGAGAGAGAGATTCAAAAGCTAGCAAAGAGAAGGGGGGCCCTGCACTGTCTCCCCCCCCCCCAAAAAAACCCCTTGACTTTGGTGATAAAATTGGGCTGGCTACAAAGTGTTTGGGGCTGAGCAGGAGCCGTGCAGAGATCTTGTAGAGATATTAGTTATAGCTCATTTTCAAAAGACTAGATCCTGATCTTTGCAATGCGAGCGAGGTTTGTGGCTGCAAATCCTGGACACGCAGGCAAGCCGGCGACTTGGGATTCCCCCCCGTCCCCCTGCCTGTTTTGTCCCCGAAGCCCAGCATAGGACAGTCCCGAGGGGGTCCCAAGGGGGTCCCGAGGGGGTGGGTTTTTCTGGCCAGCCTCCCGTTATTTTGATGCTCAGGCAGGGTCCCAAGGCTGATAATGCAGCTCCAGAGTGTGTCCTGCCCAGCTTTCTAACCACTTCCTCCGGACCCGTCTTGGAGCAGGGGCTGTGACCGAGGAGGGGAAGGCTGGCGCTGGGCTCACGGCCTCCGGGCGAGATTCCCCTCTGTAGGGAAAGCAGCCGCCCGGGCGGCGCAATTGGCACCCTTGGGGATTTCTCCCTCCTCGCCTCGTTGGGCCGGCAATTCTACCCCGGCAGCAAATGCTGGGCCCAGACTGGAGGAGGGCACCTCAGCTCCCTTCGATCGACTTTTGGGGGCTTTTCATAAACTTTTAAAACGGGGAGTTTGGGAGGACGAAGCGGCGCCATCGAGTTTTTCCTGCGGGTTGTAAGTGTGCTGCTCTTTGATTCTGACTGCTTCACCGTGCCGAGTCTTCTCTAAGGAGGCTGCCTGGCGCTGTTTCCTATCGCCCGGAGCCTTTGAATCGCACTGCTGCAAATCCAGGCAATACGGAAAGTGCTCCTCTGTGGAGGGTCTTCATCGGCAACAGAGCTTCCATCGCAAGCGGTTTCAGAGAAAAAGAAACGCTGCTCTCTTGGTCCAGGTGAAGCACACACACACACGCACACACACACACAGAGCTCCTTCTCTGACCTTGGACCATCGCTTAGCAGGCCACTTCTACTGACCGTCTGCATTGGACAGAGAGGTCGTCAAGGCTCTTCACTCCCCATCGTTCCCAAGCTGGCCCTCCGCTTCTTCCTCTCCTTCCTCTCCTTCCTCTTTGATAGGAGCGTATAAGATTACGCACTCTCTTTCATTCAGAAAGGACTAGCAGACTATTGTTGAAGTCCGTGGATCAGATAAGGACCGTTCCTGTCGACTGATTCCCTGTCGTCCCATGAGGGCAACCCTAAGCTGGTCCTTCAAGGGGCCCACAGCTGCGCTGACCCAAAGCACCAAGTCGGGACTCACCCGCTGCTTGTCGGGGTCGACAAAGCGGATCCCAAAGTAATCCTTCTCCAGGAGGTTTAAATGATGGCACAGCAGGTCAAACAGGAACTGGCCTTTGGCATCTCTCTGCAAAACAGAGGCTGGCGTCAGTCAGGGCAGGCAGGCTGGGAGCCTGGAGGAGGGTGGCCTGGAGGCGCCTCCTCCAAGGGATGGACCCAGACAATGCAGCAGCTGCAACAGCAGACACAACTTCCCCAAAGGGAACGCCCAAGAGGTTTCCAGCATTCCCTGCCAGGCTCCAAAAGCCCAAGATACACTCAGCTCATTTCATGTTCCTCGCTTAAAGACAGAAATTTTGCCAAACTGAAGGAGACGCCTTTAAACTCCCATTGAACACAATCTCTGGGAACGCTTAGGGAGGGCCCCTCTTCATCCCTTTTCTCTCGCACAAACTATCTAAGCGGCTCTGCCTCTTGGCCCTCTGGAACAATGGTCGGCAACCAGTGGGCTGGGGACCACTGGTGGTCCTCGAGAAAACTTTGGTGGTCTGCAGAGAAATGTCACCCCCAGAACACTCCCCAAAGCAATTAATCCAGGATGCGTGGGAACACAAGGCTTGCACTGCTTGCATTGCGAACAACACGAGGTAGTGAAGGAAAGGGGGGAAAGGGGGGAGCTTGCCCCACTCACCCCATGCACCTCGCCAGGCCACCGGGCTGCTTCTTTCCGCTTCTTCCTTCTCTGCTTTTGGCTGCACACAAAGAAAGCAGCAAAAGTCTTTCTTTCTCTCCCCCAAACTCTGCCAGAAATGAGTCTTTGGGACCCTGCAAGGCCTCCTGTTCCAAGAGGATGCGCTGGCACAACAAGTCTCACAAAGAGTCATTTCTGGCAGAGTTTGGGGGAGAGAAAGAAAGACTTCTGCTGCTTTCCTTGCATGAAGCCAAAAGTCTCTCTCTCTCTCTCTCCCTCTCTCCCTGAGAACGGAGCTGGAGACTGTATCCTGCAATCCCAAATAAAGAATGATCGATCGGTAGGGAAACAGGGTGGGAAATTTTCCTGCAGACTTTTTGGGGGATTTTTCCAGGGTCTCTGGTCTGCGGAGTTTAAAATTAGTGGTTTGGTGGTCCCTGAGGTCCAAAAGGTTGGCAACCCCTGCTCTGGAAGGCAGCCCCTCCCTTCCTCCTGGGAATCCAGACTATTTTCCACTGCAATCTCTCTTCCTGACTTGGGACCGAAACTCTAAACGTCCTTCTTGGGAATCAGCCCACCCCGATTATCATTTGAAGAAAGATTAACGAGCCGACAAATGCTGCTAGGCCCCCTATGGCATTGAGGCTCTCTTGGCAGCATCCCCCAACCTCTCTGGTTGGCTTCACTGCTGTGTAGCAGTAGCGAAGGGGGAGGGTCTCCTCCTGCTTGCATTGGGGCAGTCACGCCACGAATCCTGCTGGGCAGCAGCCGGCCAAGAGCTCTTGGTCAGGAAACAGGAGCTAGAAAAGAAAGGAAGGCCCGCCTGGGCCGTCCGCAGACAATGGCCCTGCTTCCGACTCCGCTGCTCTGGAGAGGGGGGGGCGGCCTCCCCTGAGAGCCCAGCTGCCCTCCACACCACCCAGAACAGCTTTGTTTGCAAACAGAAGCAACTTCCAAGCTTTGCAAGAAGGACCCCCCCCCCAGTCGTGCCAAGAATAGGGAGGTGCAATGCCTCCTTTCTGACATTTGGGGCGTCTGAAGAGCAGCTCTCAACTGACCCTTTGCAGAGTCCCGCCCCACATCAGCCGGGGCCTCACTCACTGGGCCTCCCCCTCCTAAGAGCCTCGCTTGTGTCCACAGCGGAAAAAGAACCACGTGTTTCTCAAAAGGGCAGAATCCTCCTTCTCCCCACTTTTCCAGGACTCCTTCGTGAGCAGAAAATGTCACAAAGGACGTTTTGTGGCCGCCCAAGGCAGAGGTCTCCAATCTCGGCAGCTTTAAGCCTGGGGGACTTCAACTCCCAGAATTCTCCAGCCAGCAGAGTTGAAGTTGAAGTCCCCCAGGCTTAAAGTTGCCGAGATTGGAGACCCCTGGCCCAATGGCTTAATCTGTGTCCCCCTCCTCCTCCTTCCGGAGCCAGGATCCATGGAAACCCCTGGCTTCAGGGAGCAGGGCGGAAACAGGTGGCTCGGGGGCTTCTCCCTTTGGTTTAAATACACCTTCTGGGTGGGGGGGGGGGTGAAACCGGAGGATGCCAAACTGCTTTGTGACCCTTGACCCCCATGCTGCTCCACAGGCCGGGCTGAGAGGGTCGGGCCCAAATCCGAGATCTCCATGGGAATCATACACAAACTAGCAGTGGGAAAGGAAGCTGAGCCCTCGGAAGCCGTTCCCAAAATCGAAACGACTGGGAAGATGAAAACATGAACGAACTTCAGTGGAGACAAAATGCAAATCAATTCTGCTCTAGAATCATAATAAAGCTTTGATTTCATTTCATTTCCTTTGATTTGATCTGCAATGCTTTGGGGCATCTGGAGTTAGAGATAGTCAGCGGAAGATCTGACTCAATACAGGTCCAGAAATCTAGAAAACTGGATCTGAAGGCGGCAGCAGTCACGGCAGCAAGTGAAAGCCAAGTAAGTCTCACCCAGCTGACCCCCGCCCCCCCAAATCAAGAAAGGGGGATGGGTGGGGTATTCTGGGAGGGAGATAAGGGGGGGCAGATGTTCTGACCAAGGCTTCAGAGACCGTAATTATGCACATGCTTATTTTAAAAGCAAGCCTCGTTTTAGTGCAATGCTGGGAATTATTTTCATTCCCAGCTGGTAATGAATCTCAAAACAGTCCCTCGAGATAAACACCCACCTTCCTTTTCTGTGAAGTGCTGCTGAAACAGAAGTGTCAAATGAACTAGAAAGAAAACCAATCGAAGTACAAAGAGCTTCAAGAATGAATCTGAACCGAACGACTTTGCTTCCTGCAAAGGTTTCGTCATCTTGGCCTGACTTTTATGCCTTATGGGTGGGGCAATCACCTCCCAGCCTTACTCCTGAGTTCCCCTTTTGTTTCAGCTGCTCTCGCCTTCTAGCAGCTCTGCACACACGCGCACTGGGAACAGGCTCCCCTGGATCCTCTTCCTCACTGCTGCCAGACTCCAGAGGCAGCACCCCACTCCGAGATGGTCCTGGCCCCATCTCTGCATCGGACGCAGGACCCTCGTCCGAGTCCTCTCCAGACTGATCCCTGTTCTTCCCCACTGTCCGATTCCACTGCGGTCTGCACAGGCTGCGAGCGAACCACAACACCAGAGCCACAGAGAAGGCAGAAGGGACGGCGGGGGGGGGGGGGGGGGGGGGAGGGGGACAAGGAAATGGACAATGGAGCAAGAGCGTTTTCTGCTGCTCCAGAAACAGGATTCAAAGGAAAGGATCTTAGAAAGGCAAGCCAAAGACTAGGACGGGATTGCTTTGCTTGGTGTTAGCAAGAAGCCTGGAGACCCTGAGTTCTAGTCCTGCCTTGGCACAAGGCCAGCTGGGAACCCCTTGGCTGGGGAGGGTCCCCTAGGCCTTGGGTGCAGGTAGAACTTGCCAAGGAAACCGCAGAGACCAGACCAGGCAATTGCCAAGAGTAGAGACTGTAGAGACTGACTAGAAGACAAAACAAAAACAGATCACACTTTCTGAGCAAAGGAACCGGCTACTTTGAAAAGGGAAAGATATTTTTAATTTAAACGACTGTTTTAAGGCAGGCCCCGGACGTCCCTTATGGGGGCCACTGCATCAGTGCATCAATAGGGTGTTATGGGCTGTGCCAGGGAGCCCTTTCCAGCTGGGCCCTTTGTCCCTCCCACCCCAGCAGAGTCTCTATACCAGGGATCCCCAAACTTGGCAACTTTTAAGACTTGTGGACTTCAACAAACCTTAAAGTTGCCAAGTTTGAAGACCTCTGCTCTATATGCTGAGGATCCCAGATGCTGATGGACCGCTGTGGTGGTCCTAGAGCCGGTGGTCCAGTCCCCAGGGTCACCTAGCCTGAGGTTGCCCACCAGCGGTGTGTGTGTGTGTGTGTGTGTGTGTGTGTGTGCGTGCAGGCCCTCTCTTACAAGTTGTTGGGACGTGCCCTGGTGTCTGCTGAAGTCCTCCGTCTTTGCGCATGTGGGGTTGATGGCCAACTTCTGCTTTCGTTTTCCTTCCATACACAGTTTTGTATTTTATAGTTTCATAACGGCTTTGTGTAGCAAATCGTGTAAAAATATAAATGAAAGAATAATAACCTAATTTTTGTACTTTGCCATCTCCCCCTGCCAAACACTGTCCTACAGCGCAGTAACAGCGACAGCAACAGCAGCAGCAGCAGAAATTAAATACGTGTTAGCACATTTTGATCCAAGGGAGAACACAATGAAAGTGGTTTTGTGCTGCATTTTCTGCTGCGGCATAGACGATTCTGTGTCTGCAGCCAGAGAATCAGAATCACGGGGCTGGAAGGGGCCTTGGAGGTCTTCTAGTCCAACCCCTGCCCAAGACAGAAGACTACATACTACCTCGGACAAGTGCTGGTTCAATCTTTCTTGGAAACCACTTCAAGTAGCATTTCCTTCTATTTACATAAAGGTTACACATTAGGGGATCATCCTCATTGGCCTCCCAGCCTCGGCTGGTAGAGGTGACAACCTGAACTCAGCCAAGAACTGAGCAGTGAGGTCCCTCCCTATTCAGCCAGGTAAGCCACCAAGTGAAGGTGAAGTGGAAGGAACGACAGCCTGAATGAGGGGGGCAGACGGGGCAGACCCAAGGTCCCCACAGAGGTCTGGTTTTCCCCAGTTGGCCCAGAACCTTTTCCCTGAAGTCCCCTGGTCTGAAACCCTGGGGAGGCTCCGACAGGATGGGGAAGCTTTTCCTTCCATTGCAAGGTTGAAAGAACCTCTGCAGAATTTTCTGCAGACAACGCACCCAGGAATTGTCTTAAGTTTCCCTTTTCATAGGGACCGAATAAAGTGTCGCTTGATGGCTTGAGGGGCAAGGGGAATTGCATTCATATTTTTGAGTACAACTGCGCTCTGAAAAAAATTAAAGCATAAAACGACGAGGAGCTGGTTGGTGTCACTGTGGTATTTCACGCACTTCTGCCAACTAAGACAGTGGGGGGGGGTC